TATATGTATGCATCCATGTGTTCACCAGCACCTTTGAAACGCTACGTAATAATCTTATAAAAAAAAAAGAAAAAAATAAATAAAAAAAATTCGTAAAATTTCACATTAAAAATATTAAGCTGTAAAAAGCGAAAAAATTTAATCTCAACTTCTTTAGAGACTGCTTGCACTTAATATTATTACCAATTATTAATAATATTACTATGATTTTCCAGCACTTTCTTTATTGGACACTCAACATAATCCCGTTTGATACTTTTTCAATAAATGGGTCGGCCCTCATAGCCCCATAGTGATTCAAACATTTATTTAGCTTACATTGCTAAGGCATAAGAGGCGTAAGGTTTACAGAATTCCAAATTCAAAGCACACACTATACAAACATATTGTTTGGATAGTAAATGTTGCCTGTAGTTAATTAGCGTATCATTCATTAATTGTCCTTTGAGTCTTCTTCTTCGTAACGCGGCTAACTAGGATGGATCCATGCGTCACTGCTGGAGCAAATGGGTCGCTTTAATGTTGTTGGGTATCTTAATGCCATTGGTAGATAAGTAATCATTTTTCTTTTTAATAATTAATGAATTTGGAAAAATTTATCAATTCTTTCTCCTTACACACATACAGTCACTACGAGTGAAAGCCTGAGATGCAGTGTATCGGGAATCGAATGTGAATTTTCCAACATTATTTATTATTATTGTTACTATTCTTTTTCATTTCAATAAAATGCATAAAATTTTACAGATAACTACTACTACTACTACTAACAAACACAAGACAAGACATACATGCGAGAAACAAAATTTTTATTTTTTCCTTTTTAGTAAAAAACAATGCAACGCAAATCAGGTTAAAACATAACGAACCGTATACATACGTTTATCTGTATAAACATGTTGGAAATTCCCCAGTGATTGTGAAGAAATAAGAATCGTATAAAGCGCTGACAAATACCTATTAGTTATTAAATCGGTTGATCGAATGAATTTCCATTGAAATTTATATGCGGTCACTTAACCACTATTCAAAATATATGTTATATTATTTTATTAATAGATATAAAACAAAACAAAAAAAAAAAGAATTATAAAATGCGTATATTAAAAGTTTATTTATAGCAGTTGAATGTGTTAGATCCGTCGAAAAAAGAAGATTTAAAACTCAATTATATAGAAAGTAAGAAACTTTTTATTTATTCAAGTGACTATGTAGGCAATATTTTGACTGCAACGTGTGTAGGTGTGTAGGTGTGTAGGTGTGATGTCGCCCTAACTGAACTCCGGTTGGTACTGCAATCGGATTGAAATATTGTATTCTTACTTTCATGTGTTCTTGTCTCGCCTACTCGGGGATTAGTATTAATCTCCAACCACGAAAACACGGGAAATACACGGGAAACAGTCTTCCCATGAATGAAAAGAGTTTGAATATTTACTTAGTAAAGCAAAAGAAACATTCACTGACCTTGTGCAATTATGCTAAAGAAAGGGGGAACGCGTTTATACGTCACGGCAACCGGATGCGTTCGCTTTCGTAAACGCGAAATGGAAGGCAATCCCCGTTAAGAATTGCAACGAATTATAAACGTTCGACATATGATCGGATATGTCTATGATTTCTTCTATGATTTAATGATGAACTTCCCGAACAACTTGTTCATTTTATAATTATAGATGAGTTAAAAATGACAGAGTGTAGCTTGAGGCAGATTAAGTCAGTTCAATTTCAGTATTACGAATATGATCGAAATTGTAGCAATTTGATGAAAACCCGAAAAAAAAAAATTTTTTTTGTTAAACGATTTGTATAGGCTTAGGAAAATGGATTTTAGAACGGAGTGTTAGCTCGAAAGTAAAAAATTCGAAAATGCCAAAAACTTATCAGATTATTAACCAATTGTAAGTGTGTGCATGAACTAATTTAACGGATTTATGGCTTGATGAGAGTCGTAAGGCGACTAAAGTGATAACAAAATTCAATCATTTTGTGTAAATAAAATTTTGAAACCATTTTCATGATTTTACGCTGCGCTAAAAGTAACAGCTGGCTAGAGTGGACCCTTAAAAATCAATCCCCAATCTTAAGTAAAATTAAAGATATGAAGAATTGAAAAATCAAATTCAATCAAGATAAAAAAAAAAGGAAACAATGTACACTTAGCATGTAGCATAGCGGCAAACTCGTAACACTAAACCACTAAACAGACATATAATAAAGCAAAAGCTTGGCAACCAAAACTAGTGAACATATTTCGATTAATTTACGAATCATATGAAGCTTTGAAGGTTAGTTGGAAATCAATTTAGATCCGTCGTAGGCAAGACAAGCGTATCAAGGTGAATTGATTCGATAGCATTTAAAAAGTACGATATCATGATAAAATGATCGGTATCGTGTAGATGTTTGCAGAGAGCCCTGAACAAACTGAAAACTCTCCACTGACTAAGTTGTATTGAAAAATGATAAAGAAGAGTTAGTCTAACGTAATATTGTAGGTGAGACAATAGCATCACTATCTCTTAGCTGAATTAAGAAGGCAATGCATAGAGTAAACCTATGTTTCTCCAGTGTAGGCTAGCAAGGCTAAGAGAAGCAATCCATTTGCATAACACGAGGCAAGGCATTAATTAATATCTTCGTCGATTTCGATGTGGCTGACGAGAGATTTCAATGTACTTTTCAGTGAAAATGTTTCCAACTACTTCAAAAGCGATGCTAATAAAGCGTGAAGCCTAAGAAATCTACGATACGATACGAGGTATTTCGATGATGATCATTTTTGAAATGATTGATTATTGAATTAAATCGTTGAACCGAAGACAGTTAGTTGATTTTTAATTGTATTCAACTTTGAACTAATATCAAGGATACGAATTATTGCTTGATTTTTGGCTGATATTACAAATATCTGATCAGATATGATGAATAACTTTATGACTTTCTAAAACTGTAAAGATCCATTTATTCATTCATTTCCTGAATCGATTACAGCAAAATGATTAGATGCAATCGTTTACCGGTTGCTCAAATATTTATCTTAACTTGAGACATAAAGCTTAACACGTTAGCTAAGTCTAATTAAAAAAGTTTGATGAACTCTTTAATAGCTTAATGGCAAAAATAACGATAATAATAATAAAAATAATAATAATAATAATATAACAATTATAACGACAATAACAATGATGTGTTTTTATTGTTGATCGAAAAGAAAAAAAGAAAAAAAAAAACTTTTTCGTAAATTACTTAAATATTTACACATACAACAAAACAAAAGTTTATACCGACAATTAAACACTATCTGTACCTGTAGCGATAGTTCAAGTCATAATACTTAATAATCATTTAAACGTAACTCAACAACCGAGTTGAGCTGTGAGAACTATAGACGTGCAAAGAATATGAAATATTTAAGAAAACAGCAAAGCCAACTCCAATCATCAAAATAAATAAATTTAACAACAACCAGAGACTTTTTATGTAAACAAAGAAAATTAAAAGAAAAACAACAATCAAAAGTTGTATGCGTTGAAGTAGGTGTACATGGATTTATGTAAATACAAATGAAATTTATTTGATTTCTTTTTTATTTTTATTTTTTATTTATTTATTTATTTATTTCTTTTTTTTTTAATCATTAGTATTCAACAGAGTTGGTTAACTGGTGAAATGCTGTGGAAAATATTTTTTCATTTAGGTATAAAACAGCGAGCTTGAAAACACTTTAATAAATACATATATTTATATATTATATATATATATATATATATATATATATATATAAATATATCTTCCACCAGATTTCTCGAAAGCGTTTAAACAGATGCACATACAAAGATAAGCACATACAAGTTTTAAAACGAAAAGACAAATATTTTAGTTATCTGCATAAGCTGCATAAGCCCGATCCTTGTCCCTACAACGATAAATAATAATCAAAATGATTTAACAAATTTTTCGATGTTTCGATGAATTTTTCTCATTTTCTTGAAAAAAGAATTTTTATCAATTAACAGAAATACCTTAACAAAATATTTTGCTAATTTTTCTTGTTATTGTCATTGTTGTTATCAATTCATACATTTTGAAGATAAGATTATTTGTTTGACATTTACTTGGAATTATTTAAGAAGATAGCTAGCTAACTTTAAGAAAAAGATACGCAAAAAAAAAAAAGGTGAAAAAATTTGTTTACAAAATTTTGGAAGCAGTAAGAAGATGAAACCAACTATGCATTGTAAGTTTAAATGTCAATTTCATCAGCTTAAGCAAACAAAGTGCATGAGAAGCACTCCTTCAACTTGTAGTAGAAAATTTTTAAATAATTTTATTTAAAAAATCAAACAAAATAAAAATAAAATTAGTTAAGTTTTTTTTTTTTCTTCATATTTGAATGTGTTTTTAGTGTAACAACAATAAGTAATTTTCTTACAACACAACAACAACAACAACAACGAGAGGAATGATAGCAATAAAACTTGTGTAGTTATTTTTCATTTTAAACAAAAGACTTAAGCAACAAACTTCAACATATATGCATGGATAAGTAAAAAAACTTCAAAACTCGACGAGAGAGCAAATGAGAGAAAGAGAATAAGAAACGAAAGAGAGGTGAATTTTTCAAAAATCTTTTCGCCGGATCAAATTTTTTTCCTTAATTTTTCTTCTTTTTTTTTTTTTTGTATAATTTTTGCATTACGTCGTACCAAGAAGATGAGCTATTTCTTTATATGAATTTTGTATGATTTTCGCTTGAAAAAAAGCTTTTTTCTTTAAACAAATTAAAATGAAGAAATCTGAAGAAAACAAAAAATTGTTTAATACTTAAAACCCACCACACTCAAGCACTTGAACAGTTGAACGGAGAACACGGGCTCAGGCGAACAAAATAGCTTTTAAAGTTTCTTACCACTAACTAACTGGCGCTCGGCAATCTCGGCATTTCGTTTTCAATGGTTTTTCTTGCATCTTAATAAATAGAACTTGCTGTTGCCAGCCAACACCTAGTGTAAGCGTGGCTGTGTATTAAGCAAGTAAGGCAAGCTAAGGTTGTTATTTGAAATATACAGACAGCAGTGGCTAAGCTTCGGACAAAAAGCAAGAAAATAAGTTAGTTTTCGAAAACTCGAGTGTGGCTTTCGTTATTAATTATTTCGTTTTTTATTTTTATTTATTTATTTATATTTTTTTCCTTGTAAAGGTCTTTTGCAAATTTAGTTTTTATTTAATCAACAAACGCGCAACACATACGCAAAATGACGCGTGTGTTGCCAGTTTTAGGCATCATCATGCTAACCTGTACTTTGGGTAAGTAAATTAAAATTATTATTTAAACAATATAAATATATATATATATATATATATATGTATATTTATATCGAATGCTAACATGTTAGAGTAAATGAAAACGAAAAACTTTTTCCTTTTTTTCTTCGTGATATTCTGAGAAAAGAAAATAACGAACTCTGCGAACTCTATTTAAGCTTTTCATAGATAATACTTTTCCCTTAACGAGCTATAGCCAAATTAATGAATAGTAATGAAATTATTACGCGAGAGTCTTACATTGTGTTATTGCATTTTTTCAATCTTCTTCAAAAAAATTATATTCAATGTTGTTCTAATACTTGCCTGCAATGCTATTCAATTGTAAATCTAAACGTTTAAAATAATTAGGAAAAAACATAATTGTTTTTTTTTTTTTAATTTTTTTATTTTTTTTTTAGAAATGTATTCTAGTTACAGTTATTGCTAAAGATTTATGTTAAAGATTAAGTGAATCGAAACCATTAAAAATCAAGGTTAATGATAATATGTGTGCGACCGAACATAGAAGAAACAAACACAAAAACCATATAAAAAATTGTAACCATTGTTCAGTTTCATCATACAACCTGTAGTAATTGAATAAAATATATATATATATATGTACGTATATATGTATGTATATATGTATATATATATATATTATTATTTTATTTTATTTTATTTCATTTTTTTTTTTTTCTGAAATTCGGCTGCATTGACATTTTGACTTAAGCATATGTTGTTGCTGCTGTTATCGCTGCTGCTACTGCCGCAGCCGCAGCTGCTGTCACTGTCGCTGTTGTTATTGCTGGTGTTGCTACACCTTAAAAAACAACTTCTTAACTTTTCCCCTGCATTAACTTGTTTGCTGGCATTTATAAAAAAAAGAAATCAAGTTATTCATTGGCTTAAAGGAGGAAAAAACTTGTTTTTTTTTTTTTGTCTTTAAATGATTTACATAATTTATTAAGTTTAACGCTAATGTCTGTCATAATATCCTCAATTCACTTCTGATGCTATTTTTATGCAATATTAACTGCAGGCACTGTTGTACTATAACACAGAGAGAAACTGGTTAAGCCACATGCGATTACAGGCTCTCCATAAGCCATCAGTGAACATACAATCGCTTTTAGCCGCAAATGCTTTTTTTTTTTTCTTTTTTTTTTACAAAGCTACACTTCTAAAATTGGTTTTGTGGCCAAATATGGTAACTGGTTTCTTATACGCAGTATAATACACACTTACATAGCATGAAATTCCTTTCGTTTTCGTTGCACTAGCATTGCTAACAATGCAAAACGGAACTGAACTGAAAACATGCACAGGTAGACAGACGGACAGACAGACAGACAGACAGACAGGCAGACAGAAGCAACAAATTCAGTTCACTCAGGCAGAATGTTAAAAAAGGCGAAAAGACTTTAAAAACTTTTTCAATAAATAAACTAATCAACCATGAATACCGCTGCCATATAAGCCGTTTTATTTAGGTTTATGTGATAACAAAGCGAATGCCAATTCCAACAATTCATAAAACTAGCAATTGGATAACTGAAGTTTATAAAGAGCTAAATAAACAAAGCCAATCCCTCAATAATCTTTTGCGGACATTCCCTGAGGCTTTTCCCACAACAGCAATTATCAGCAATACTGAAGTTTCGTTATGCATAAATCTATTAAAGGCTCACGTTAGTAAAAGATCTGTCTGTGCACTTGTGTCTTGTGTGTTTCTCGAAAGCGCGCCAAACTATAAAATATTCCGCATATCGAATAAAAAATAACTTACTTATAAATGAACAACACGTTGCAAACATGTATTCATTCGGTAAGAGCGATCGAACTTGAAATGCTCGAATAGATAGAGGGGTGACCAGGTAAACAAAAAGATGGGTCGTTAAATAGATTGTTGGACGGACGCATCAACGGGGAACCGAGGAGGACTTTAGTAGTTAAACTTTTTATTTGCTTCGTTAGCGCTACGAGCATTTTGCACAGCGGAAAGACGTTTCATTTATAAAATGTGGCTTTCATAATTCCGATTCTCGCCAATGCGCCCGAAAACTTAGTGAGAACCAGGATGGATACATTCGAAGTATACTGAACACGTGCTTTAAGGTCAATAAGCAACTCATATAGGCCAAGGGACAAAGCCATCATATAATGCGCAATTTTTTGTATAAATCAAAGCTCGTACATATTATATATCAAGTTATGCTTTTACACAACGTGACCGCACCTTATAGGTACCTTGGGTTATCTAGCTGATTTATTAAGTTAATCAAAAAAAAAAAAAAAAAAAGCATAAGAAAAAGCCTTACATGAAATATATCCTCGGTCTCGATTATAATTTTGACAAATATATGGACAAAGTATGACATTCAAAAACTGCAGTGTCCTTGAGCTAAACGTCTCCGCAATTATATAAAGTTATTGTCACGAAATTTTTGCCCTGTCATGCCATAATATTATTACAATAAGAATTCAGTATTCGTATATACAGAACATTACATAAGTTCACTTACGAAATTTCCTTCATATGATAAAACCTATGATTTAGATACAACCTTGTAAAGTGTAACGTCTTTCAGTGCACTTTTCTGTGAAACAACATTTACCTGTGCTATTATGTATTATGTATAGAATATAATAGCCTTGACTGACTTTAATGATAAAAAAAAAAAATTTCTTTTAATCTTTGTTCACTACACTATATCATAAAGCTACCAGCCAGGATACGAATGACAAACTTGAAGGCATAGATATTGAAGAAGTTTGTACCGATCGACCGGGTGATGAATACTTCCGCTTAGATACAGAGGGCGATTGCCGTGAAGTATACAGGTAAGATTTAATAACAAAAGTCGATTAGCATTAAATTACATATATAATGAAAAAGAAATTTGTAATGAAAAAGAAAAGAAAATTTCGAAAGTCTACACTTAGATCGAGTTGATATGTGTTAATGTTGAAACTAATTGAAATTATTTTATTTTCAAATAATTTGCTAAAAACGGAAAAACAACAAAAAAAAAAAAAAAAACCAAAACGAAAAAAAATTACAATAATAATAAAAACAAAAAGATGTGATAATGCCGGTGAGAATGGCAGCACACGCTTAGCGTCAATACGTTGCGCTGGCGGTTTGGCATTCGATATAATGAGACAAACATGTGATTGGAAAACAAATGTCAAAAATTGTGATCAGATTGAGAGTAAGTGTGAAACGGCTGTACAACTGACATTAAATCCTTCTTCTTCTTTTTCCTCTTTTTGTGTCTTTTGTGTTCCCGTTAGAAAAATGTCACTAAAGCAACTTTCGTGTTCTCTGCTACTCTTTTTTTTTTTTTTTTGTTTTTGTTTTTGTATATGTTCTGTGTCTCTAATCTCTCTGTGGTGTTTTGTGTTTAATTTTTTTGTTCACATGGCAACTCTTGGACAAAAAGACATTTCTATTTCAAACAAGGTGCTATCTAGTGTACGCTAAACAATCTATTTATATAAGGCTTTGCCTCTTTGTACTCTATTACAATATATTCGACTATTCATATATATGTGTTTGAAATTTTAAATTGCGTTTGCGGGGGGAGTGGGGGGGAGGGGGGGAATTATTAATGTTTATGTGTTTATGTGTATATCTGTTTTTGTCTAACTAACCCCCAGATATTTTCTCGATGTTAATAATCAGTAAATCAAAAATAAAAACCAAAGTTCTCTCGTTTATCATCAGCATCATTTAAGATAACAACGATGTAAATAAAAGTAAAAAGGACGATTTTTCAACATTTTTATTTTTGCGTAAATTTAAGCAAAGAAGGTATATATGCAGCGACAGTATGCCTTCAAATATTTGCGTAATAAAAAAAAATTTGTTAAGAAACTTTAAAAATATTTTTTTAGCAATAAAATATGCTATAATGTTGCGTCTGCGCATAATTCCCTAGCGAAAGTGTTATATGGAGAACATTCGATCAAGATCGAGACATGTGTGCTTAAAAAAAAAAACATTAATTTTTTTCATTTCATTTCATTAAATTATTTTGTTTACGAAAAGGCGAAAATCATCGTAAACTCATAGTAAATTAAGCGCTAATTATGAATAAGGTATCATTAATGGAAATTCGTTACAGCTTTCGGTTTTCAAAATGTTTCTCGCTTTAGTCGATCAATCGCGTCAGCGATTGCGTTGACACCGAACAATCAACACCCGCAAGACAATTCACTGATTAAATTGCTCTCGTTTTCCGTTATGGACTCATGTATAGATTTAATTATATTTGATCAGTAAAGTCTATCCATCCCTCTGATTTACTCTGAATTACAATTTTATGTTTAATGTATTGACTAGAAGAACTTAGTCCCACTGTTAAATTTTCACATTGTTTAAACCAGAGTCAGAGGCAGATTAAATCGATTTAAGTCCAGAGACGATTGTAACTAGAGCACTGTGTAGTCTTGACTGTTGACTAATCTCCTGAATTGCTATTATATTAATGCGTACGTCTGCAAGAAGTTTCCCATAGAAAACAGGTACAGTCTCACTTAAAATTTGATTAATGAACTGTTTTGACGAACGACCGCATGAAGAGAGTTCAGATTGCTCTATGCTGTTGAATTGTTTGAAACGATCCATTTTAGGATGTATATATAGTAAGGGGAAATGACAAACGAGGTGCCCACAAATTGGTGAAAAAAAAAATTATGTTTTATTAGGACAACGCTGAGACAAATGTTGTTAAGGCTTCGTTTCAAATTTAAATCAAAAATTATACGTAGCATTTTCAAGGTATATGTCAAAGAGAGGGCAGGAAGCTGTGCTGCCTCGATCTAACAATTTAGGAAAACTGAAGGAGATATGGGAATATGCGGTAGAGAGAATGTTTAAAGAAGTTGTAAACTAATGATAAAACGCAAGTTTCTTAACATATTTTTTTGTAATTCATACAAAAAGTTGGACTATTCCGTCTATTTGGAAACTTTTGAACTGACATTTAGACGATCACTGCACATATCCTGCAAAAGAACCGAAAAAAAAAAATCCCTCATCATTTCCCATTTTGTGTATGTTCTAGATGTACGAAATCGGGTTTGAAAGAAATTCAGTGTCCCTCCGGTCTGGCGTTTGATATTATGAAACAAACCTGTGATTGGAAGGCTAAAGTAAATAACTGCAATGAAAAAGAAAGTAAGTGCGTACGATTTAATGTTGGTGTGCCTGCGTTTGTGTCTGTGCATACGTGCGCGTTTATGTGTATATGCATTTATATATGTGTATGTGTGTTCGTGTGTGTTCGTGCGTGCGTGTGTGTGCGTGCGTGTGTGTGTGTGCGTGTGTGTGTGTGTGTGTGTGTGTGTGTGTGTGTGTGTGTGTGTGTGT